AATCGCATTAAGTGACAACTTTAATAGAAAATAATGTTTAAACTCTTGTCCTTTTACCTCACAGTACATGCATGGCAAACTACCGCAAAGGTAGTTGGTTGGTTTGCTAGTGCCTTGTACTTGAGTGGTGTTATATTGCTGATTAGGGTGCCAAATGGTTGGTCACGTTTCAATCCAGGAGCTCGTGTCTGCCAAGTCAATTTGAGCTATTTACGGGAACACCGACTAGATGCTTTGCCCCCACCGGAATCAGAAAAAGAGAAAAGATCTTTTCCGAAGGCTGTAGGTAGCATGTATACTCATAATCTTGCGTTTAAAACTCTTTATAATTTGCATAAGGACAAAAAAAATACTATTATTGCCCTGTTGTTCTTCAAATTTTAAAGTTTTACAAATCATCAATCCCATTTGTGAGTCAGCAGCTTGGGATGAGCTAACAAAACAAGAGGCTTTCTGCCTACTTGGAATTTTCTCTGGCACTGTTTGGACCAACTCAAGAAGGTGATCGATGCAGTTAAGTCACAAAGGGAATTCTCATTGGCCACATCAGATAGATACAACACCATTTGGATCACGCATGGCCATTGAAACAGCCACAAGTTTACAATTACTCCACCCTGTATAGCTTACATCAACCACCAACCAAGTCCCATTGGTTGTTCTTATCCACGGGCCACGGCAAAAAAAATCGACCCGGTCTGGTGGCTAATTAGCTTTGAATAATTATACTTGGTAATACCTAATTATATCCACCTTCTCCTTTAAAAAAAAAATACAAGCATTTAAAATCTTGATATAGTGATAACTAAGTTAAGGTATTTTTCTCTTTAGAGAGATGTCAAGTACGAACTCCGTACGTTTCTTTCTCAAATCAATCATTTTCGAGGAAGTTAAAGAAACCTTGTTTGGATTGTGATTTTCTGCAGAAAATTTTATATTTATCATGAATACATATCTCAATCACCTTTGTATTTCACATACATCAAATTAGTACAATACATTTTTTTTTAATAAAAACTTCTAAAAATAACGATCCGGATAGGGTTTAAAGAAATCTAACAACTCCATCCAAAATGAAGGTTGCACGCCTTATAGTCGATATATAAATGTGAAATCATGCCCGATAACTAAACCATCATTATACATTTGATCGATGAGCATTGTTAATGGCATTTCAGTTATTATTAATAACAATCTTATGTTCTTTGTATTTTTTCCGAAAACATATTAAAATATGGAGTGTCATGGACAAAAATAGAGTGCCAAAAACAACAGTCTTGATCGAGTAATAAAGAAAAGAAAAAGAAGTGGTATATTCTTTTGGCTTTTATACACTAGAAATGCTTGAATAAATTACTGTTGGCTGATTGAACGTTCGAGAGATTCATCAGAAGGTCCTGGAAGGTTATCAATTTTCACCAAACCTACATAAGGAGGTACGCCAAAATGGGGCTGTGCATGCTGAAAACTGGTGTTAATGGTCTGCACCAAGTTATTCAAGGAACAATGAAGGTAATTATCGTTATTTTAATCCTGATCCATCTAAACCAACTGCCGAGAGATTTAACTCTTTACAGTCATACATCTGCAAATGATTGTGCAGAGCTAATCGTAATGAATTCTAACAATTACGGCAATGCGAAGATTAACAAAAGGCACGTACTTGTCCAGTTCAATCAAGAAGCTTATTTGAAGTCGAGCAATAAAGCTAGAAGAAAATCTACAAAAGATTTATCTTACGTCCATCTTGATTATAATGATGGCATTTCACGAACTTGATCTAAAAAAAGTTGTTCATGCAAAAAGGATTATTAACTGACAACGTAGATTGTAGATTGCTTATATCTGTAACAAACTAATAACTAAAAGTATTTCCGTATAGGAGTATCACTTAAGGTCCATTTGAAGTTGCGATGACTTAACAAAAACACTTTAATGAGCATAGAGGTTTTGGTCAAAGTACTTGTTAAGGTTTAATCGTATAATTTTGTGGTGCATACTTGAATAAATATTTTTTCTATTGATAATGTGCAAATATAAATTTTATAAACGTATTTTCTCTTAATTTAGTTCAAAATTTGCAATAGTTCTTGTTAGTTTGGATAGAGCATTATTCCAAATTATTATTTGGAATAATGACTATAGCACTTTTTGTGATGTGATGTATGGAGATAAAAAGGTGATTAGGAATATAAAAAGGTGAATTGGGAAATGTGTTTTATGATGCAAGCGAAAAAAATTTTTTGGAAAAATTTGCTATCCAAACATAGCTTAAAAGTTAGTTTTTTTTTTTTTTTTTTTGAAACTAAAATGCTGTTCTAAAAGTACCAATTTTGAATTTGTACTAAAAGTGTTTTAATATCCAAAAACTCTACTCCTAAATTCAATGAATTTAATATCGTCCAAAAACACTTTTAGCAAAAGTACCACAATGCCAACAGGGTCAATGTAATTATACATAAGAGTAGGTAAATCGTTAAAAACTTCAGGTCCTGGCTACTCTGTGGGGCGTTCAATTCCTTTCGAGGTTCAAAACTTCACAACCTTCAGCCACTGTCCATTGGGCTATGTAGCATTTGAGGCCCAATAAAGTATCCATAAGAGTACATTATGACGAATCTGCGTCCAGTTAGCCAGTTAGGGACTGGGTTAAAAATTGCTCCAAATCAAGTGTTTCGACTTTTGGGGCTTATGGCCCACAGTTCGTTCTCTAGCACAGAGGCGATGTTAGAATGGACTCTTTACTCTATGGGCACCAAAGAAAAGGCTACATTCTCCACTCTGTTTGGATTAGCTACTTTTGAAAGTGTTTTTTAAATATTTTATTGTAATAGTGCTGCACGAAAACTTTTATTATAAATATTTTTTGTGGTGTTTTTGGAGGAATTTTTGAAAATATATTTTGAGGTACCTTTTAAAATTTAAAAATTTTTTAGTGTTCTTTTTAAAAATTAACACTATCACTCACAACTACCATCACCCCCACCCACTATGGCCACCACCCTTTTCCTCCTCCTTTCTCCTCCCCTCTCTCTTCCTCGCCACCCCCGCACCTCCTTTCCCCTTATCTCGATCTGGCCCCTCCCTCTCCCTATCACAATCTATTTGAAGCCAGATCGGAGGGGGAAGGGAGGGCCGGGGGGAGGGCAAGGAAGAGAGAGGAGGAAGAGAAAAGAAGGAGGAGAGGGGAAGAGAAACGAAAGAGGGGATGGTGGCAATGGTGGTGGATGGTGATGATTTGTAAAATTTAATTTTTTTATATATATTTGTGAGTTATTTTTTTATATATTGTATGGATAAGCTGTTTTGGAGCTATTTTTATTCATGTATTACTGTAGTATTGTATTTAAAAATTAATTTTTGAAAAAACAAGTGAATCCAAACAAAGGAATTTTAATATTCTATTAGGCCACTCTTTTTGAGTTATCTTGAAAAAAATTGTCCACCATCGCAGGTGAAAAGGCGTTAACTACCCATTTCTATCAAAAAATTATTGTACTTTATTCTAAGATTTCTTTTGCCTAAAGAAGTTTGACTTTCAAAGTGAATAAATTTTGAAGTAGAAGGTCATTCCGTACTTGTTTTTCATCTTGCAAGTTGCTTTTGAACTGGCCAAGCGTAGTCATCATCGCAAATTGTTCAAAGAAGTTACGAGGAAACTTCAATAATTTCTCTAGTATTGAAAGTTTTGGAATCAGATGATGTTATTTTGGACTAATTGGGTATTTCACAACTGTTGTCATTCTTTTGCAATTTAAGGACAAACATGTTATGTGTAGAAATGTGATATGCTGTTAATCACTCTCTCCAAGGTTGAGTGACCAATTAAAGCCCCATCTTTCTCTTTTATGCTGGATGCAAATTTCAGCACCCTTTGCTTTGTTACGCTCTTGTTGGATCTTGCTTCTGCGTCATTTAGACAAATCATATCGGAGGGAAAAGAAATGCAAGTCAAGATAAAAAAAATCCAACGGTGCAGAGAAAAAGAAGGGTGTGGGATTGGATATCAGGAGTCTCATTCTATCCACCTCCGAGTCCCCCTCCCAAAGCACCACGAATAAAAGGCAGAGACAAAAACAGATGAAAGGGACATCCAAATCCAATGGTGGAAAATGACTCATCACGAAAGCCGCGGAGACACGCAGCCGCTCGAACCCAAAGTTTGGAAGATATATTCCGTCTTACCATCCATCATCACGAACTCGTCTTTTAACCCCACCATAAATTATTACAAACATCACATCACTTTACACTCGCACTCACAATTTCCTAGTAAAGAATAAATCAATTTAACCAACCATAGTTTTTTTTTCTTTTTTTTGTTTGAGGGTAACCAACATAATTACTTCACTTTTTTCTCAAAAAACCCTTAAGCTGATCTAATATATCTTTAAACCATAGCAGAGGGATTAGGGCAAAATGACAGTTTTCATTTCCCCGATGTTGGTAGTCATCATTTAGCTATCAACACCAAAAAAAAATAATAATAAAGTGTGGAATTATTACCTACGCCAGATATTTATCACATGATTTGAGCTTCATAAATAACAATTAAATATTTTTCTTATACATACATTGACTAGTTTTTTTCAAATATCCTCACTACCTTCCAATGATCCCTACATCTCCACACCTTCACAATATATTAAACTAAACTCAGACTATCAATAAAATCTAAATTTTAATACTCACACAATTAAATGCCTCAGGAAGTAAAAATTATTATTGTAAAGTGTAAAATATTAATAAATAGATAAAACCCAAATGGTTTAATTATGATAGCATATTGTTGTGTCCCGCACACTTCTACAGTGCAACTCCCCACTATAACTTCAACGTCACCCCCGCTTAGGCTTTGGTCCCATTCACCCCTATTCTCCTATCCTCTTTCCTGTACTGCTAGTATTTTGCTTTTGCTTTGGCTTCAAGAAATCCAAAAACACACCGAAACTTTTAGCTAATTAAATTCGAGGGAAATCAATATAAGATTACCTGAGAAGAAGAACAAGAAGATGAGCTGCAATGGATGTAGAGTTCTCCGAAGAGGATGCAGCGACAAATGCGCCCTTAGGCCCTGTTTGGGCTGGATCCCCACTCCCAAGCTCAAGCCAACGCCACTCTTTTCGTCTCCAAGTTCTTCGCCGCAGTGATCTCATGTCCTTCATCACCGCCGTCCCCGACTCCAAAAAACCTGGTAACTGAAGATCAATAGCAAATGAGAAATGCATCGTTTGGAATTTTGCTTAATTTTTTTAAGGAAAAAAAAATAGAAATTTTAATTTGTTTTATCTTTTAGCTTTATTTCAGTCGCTGTTATATGAAGCATGTGGTCGTACGGTGAATCCGGTGAGCGGAGCGGTAGGGCTATTGTCGACTGGGAACTGGCCAGTGTGTGAAGCGGCGGTGGAAACAGTCCTCGCCGGCGGAACGCTGCGGCCTATGAACGGTGTCGGAGTATTGAGTCCTGATTCGAATGAAGCCTCGGAAGCATTCTGTAACAGCGGCGGCTTGTGGAGAGTTCAACCGCCGTTTTTCATGCATGGATCGGACGGTGATGAAATGATGGTTGAATTTGAATCTGATCAGAATATGTCTGCGTCGGCCTCGTTTCGGTCGTCGGAGGCGTCTGACGTGTGGGGGAGTTTTGGAAGCTGTGGTATTGAAGGAGTTGGTGGAAAAGAGCCAAAGCTTTTGAATCTTTTTGTGTAATTTCGCTGAATTTTGTGGCGGTAGTTACTAGCATATGACTAACGAGTGAACTCGGAACTCGGTTATTTTGTAGCATGTGGCTGAGTTCTGGAACCCGGTGAGTCGAGAATCGGCTAATTGTTGTGGTGGTCTGAGCTGTTAGCTGACCTGTTATGACTATTTTTGCTTTTTGGCGAATAAATAATTCTAATGGACTACTACTAATCATAACTCGTAATTTTTATGGAATTCCATCTGCAAAATATAGAACGGCCTTTGAAACCATAATAATAATAATAATATATTAATGCCTTTCAGTTTGAGAGAGAAATTATTGAGGGTTTCAAGTGTCATTTAATTGCCTTCTTCATGAAGGGCTTGCGTTTAATCTCGAAGGATAAACAACAATAATCATCACGTAATATTTGTTTTGGTAATAAGAATTGGTAAATTACTTGAGCTTATGGACATATTTATGAGAACAATCAAAATTTATGAAACCAATTGAGTATAATTTTTAAATCACGTTATGAAATGACTCAATATTTTATACACTGATAATTAATATACACTATCACTATTGAATCTATGATATCTGTGTAAAAATTGAATTTATTCTTCATCTGACGATGCTGTGTATAAATAGGAAAGATTAATCCTTAAAAATTAGACAATAAAAAGAAAAATACAACCAATAGAGAAATCATCAGTTCAAGTTATAGATTAAAAAATGAAGAGACGACAAAAATGTCCGTACAAGTTGTTTTGGAACTGGTCGAAGCTCGATTGCCGTGTAGTTGCACCGCCGAATAGCGGAGTTCATGTGATACTCATTCCCCAGCTTTAATTCTTTATGCAAATACTCATAAATTACTCCCCCATTTCGTTTCTGTCTGCACAATTCAATAATAATGTTTTGATTGGTTTTAAGTTTATAATAACGACTTATTGAGTTGTTCATTACTACCATAAGTCAGGTTTATATTATTCTTTAATCTATGCAGTACTTCTTGCGTTCCGCTGCTAGTTTGGCGTCTCCTAAACGTACATGATGGTATCGGGCACGGAGCACTTAGGAATCAAACTCACTTTCTCATTGGCTTCCGTCAGCAGAGGTCCGATTGCAAGAGACTCGATCGATTATAAGAAAATAAAACTTAAAACCAAGAAGAGGAAATGGACACTTTCATCTCTGCATTTCTAAACTTTGTGCCACCGTTTGGATTGAAGGAATGAAAAAGAAAAGAAAGGAGAGTAGAGGAAAGTGGTTTTCGCCGTCTTATTAAGATTAAGGATGGAAGGAGAAGAAAGGAAATACAGTGATTTTGAGAGTGTTTGGATAGCTATATTATTTTACATAATATTTCGCTCGTATCACAGACACATTTTTCAATTCGCATTTTTATATTTTTAACTATTTTTTTTATTTCACATACATCACATCACAAAAAGTACTATAGTAATCATTCTAAATAAAATTTCAAACTAATACTAAATTTTTATTAGAATTGAAGAAGCAAAAGAAAAGGATCAAGTGTTAATATATTGAAAAAATTAAGGAGAAAATGATCCTTTAAAAAATTCTAAATTATCTAATTAATTTAATTTCACTTTCCTCCGTTTCCCCTCATTTTTGGATGGGAACCATAATTCAACAAAATAATTTAGACTTCTTATCCTTTCCTTTCCCTCCCATTTCCTCAATCCAAATGGTGCCATATGCGTTCGTCCTCAGCTGGCTTTGTACTACTGGTTTTTATGGTCCTGAACCTTTCTGAGCAGTCTCATAACTTCAAGAAAAATCCTTAACAAAAAGGGATTTGGAAGTCTCCACATTTCGAAAATTATTTTGGTCGCATTCGGGGAGTTGGATCCAAAGTGTGAGGCAAAAGCGATTAATACCCTTTCTGCACGGAGCTTTTCATTTACAGTCAACTACTTTATGATACTTTAGATAGTCTATTTATCTTTTTCTAATCCTCGAAAAAAAAAAATACAAAAATGATGATGTTTTCACAACATGCACCAGCATAGCCATTATCCATCATCTCTTTATTGATGCATAATTTCTTTGAAGGTTCCTAAATACTTTAATGAAAACTCGAAAACAAAAACATATAATCTAAGACAATGCTGATAGTTATGGACGCAGTTCAGGTTCTCAATTGAATTGTTTCCACCAATACTAAAAAAACATATATGAAGTAAAATCAACCCTTGTTATAGTAGAGAACCATTGAAAATATTGTTGACCATTATATTATACAACTCTAAGACCATGAAATGCATAGTATGAATCTATTTACTAACCTTTAAGAATAATTCATATTTAAAAAAGATGTTCCAGTCTTTCCTCTGCATTTTGTTTAGTATGTGATTAATCATTTATTTAATAGGCCTTGCGAGATTAACAAAAAGGAAAAGGAGGTCAATTCATAGCATATCATATCATCCAGTAGGGAAAACATGCGGTACGCGTCAGCAAGGTCCCTGGTTTTCTCCTCCATCAGCAGTGGGATCCACGTCATCCCTTTTTCTTTTCATCTTTTAATGTACTCCCCTCCAATAAAGATTTTGTTTGGAAAAGAGTCCGGACAATTGGAGTCATTGGACTGCAACAAAAAGGCGAGAGAAATCATAAATGGCAAACGATTCGCTAATGGTTGCACTTGCGTCGCGCCGCTTCCCCACATGAGGGTCCTACTCCCATTGCAGCCTCTAACTGCTACTTCTAGTCTACTTCCACATTTTGTTGGATAAACCTTTCAAAGAAAATTTGAATTTTATATACATTAACTATATATACACTCTTTCATTGTTAAATTTATGATACATGCATGAAAATTTAAATTTAAATTTAAATTTTATATCATTATCATTTATTTATACAAAAATAATAATGTAGGAAAGATTAATCCAATCTCTTATACATACATTAGCGGGTCTATGTTTACGTAACACATGTAAAGTTAATATTTAAATTTAAATTCATTAAATATAACATACATTTAGATCCGTCAGTATATATACATTATGAAAAATTAATTTTTTACGAGACAATTAGAAATAGAGAAAGGTAATTGAAAAAAGTATGAAGGATGCACCCAAAAATTTTCTCAGAAAAAAATTACAATCCAAATAGACTAACGTTCCGTTTTTAACCCCTTGATGGTTAACTTTTTTTTTTTTGTCAGCAAAAATACATACACAGACCCAACTAAACCAAAGAAGTGCTTTGGCACAACCCTTAGATTTTTTTCGCTGCAAATGAGGGTTCAGCCCAAGGAGGGACTCAAGCCCCTCCCTAATGACCACTGAGCCATTGGCCCAGTGGTTCCTTGATGGTTAACTCAAAATCGTTTAATTCCACCATACACATAAATATCTTGATGCGTTATTGTAGGGTTCTGATTGATAGAAAACCAGCTACGTGACCCACGAACACAAGCTCAATTCGTTTCCTTCCTCATTTTTCTAATAATCAACAGAGCATAAATAAATTTGCATCATTATATTAAGAAGAAAAATATACGATAAACTAACAACCAATGAACCAATGCATGGAAGGAAATTGAAAAATTGCAAAAGATGGGAAACATACGTAATTATCATTTGAATTTCGGTAGGGAATTCCCAGAGTGTGTTCATGAGTAGTTTAACCGAAATATTGTAGATTTAAGTAAACGTTACAGGAAGTTAACTTGCTCTTCACGTTAGACATACACCTTGATCTCAAAGTCAAACATCTTACCTTTCTAATATTCTTTGTTGAAGAACTTTTCATCTGTATTTTCCTCATCTCGTCTACAGACAAATAAGAAGATATTAGCATTGAAGCAATAAAGACGTTACATTTTTACATGAAGAGTTCATGGAGTACCCGTACCTGAATGATAATCTGGATCAAAGGCATAATCATGGTGCTTCCTGTCTCTTTCTGTGGCCGTTGTCTTCAAGATTTCTTCCATTCGACGATCTGGTTCTGTGAGTAAACAAGATGCACGTTGAATACAGTTAAGAAAGACTACATGGAGCATTTCATTTATCATCTACATTGACAGAGTAACGGTAAATACTGGAGGAAAAATCTAGTAACATGTAATCTTACAGAAAGGTTTGTATATCTATGCTTTGCAGTGAGCAACTAATAATCTTCCACCCAATCCTAAAAGATTGTAAGGACGTAATCAAATTTAATGAGACTTTATGAATTTATTACTCACAGTGGCACTCGCGTAGAAAGCAAAAAGCATATTAGCGAAACAGGATTCTGACGACGTTTTCGTTTGATTGAAGAATAAATTTAAGAAAAACACGATGCTTGTTAATAATAATTGATAAAAAAAAAAAAAAAACATCGCTGATAATTGGAATCACGCATTGATAACATCAACATGGTTGGTAACTGTACAAATTTTACTTTTATCATTTTTTTTTCAACGAAAAAAACTCGGTTAGACTGAAGACTTAAAGCAATAGCAGGCAATATTCAGAATCAAGTCAAACATCACAGAGTTTGTCTCTCGATAAATCTCAAAACAACCACCATCCAGGAGCAAGGAATTTTCCTCGGGCTATAGGTTAAAAAATCACAAGGATACCAGAATTGTCGATTGAAATTTTGAAAAACAACATCAAAAACAAAATTAAGAGCTAAAATAAGCCTTATCAGCAAGAAAGAGAGGAGAATCCTAAAAGCTTGCCATTCATCAAATTTTTAAACCAAATCTAATTTCCTGGTTAATCAACCTCTTCTTGTAATATTGATGTTTGCCTGTAAACCAACCTAATATTTCTCAAGAAGATCGTCAGTTTATGAGATATGGGAAAGAAAGGCCTTATAATGTGAATTTTCCAATTGACCGGTGGTGTGGACACTTCATCAGCCAAAACAAGGAAATCTTCGACACTTGTCTTTCAAACATGTTCAGGTTTTATCAAAATTACCTGAGATGTTCCTAGAATATGTAAACCAAACAATCCTTGCTACCAGAAATTCAAAGGAGAGGACCAAAAACTCCACAGATAGGCACAATATGAACAAGTTCTCAAAAGTCCATAAATTGGAATGAATAAAATTGTCAAGTAAAAGTACCATGTCCAAGAGAAGAACAAATAAAACATTAGATACTATAATTTGCAGTAGCTTAAGCCTTACCTTCCGAACTGCAAAAGCATAAACGAATATAATCAAGCTTAATTGAAAATCTTTCATCTGCTGGAAGATGCTGAATCATATTTGCTTAAACAACAATAACAGTGACTAAGTTTTAGATATTTTCCCCACTATCATGCATGAAAAGGGGAAATCTACAAGTAGTATATATGTTTCTTTTGGAGATCAGTATCCACATCATTTATCATGAATTACAGATTTCCAATCATTCTTTGTACGATCATAGCAAAACTAAAAATCTAACAAAAGAAAAAAATCAACACTTTGACCAACATATGACAATAGTTCCCGTATTGTCAAAATTATCAACCCTGCTCCTACTGAAAATTAAAGACGCTTGTATGTTACTATGAGTGATCCAAAAGGGGAACAACAAGCTGTACGTATAGGAAAGGCAAATAGGAGAGAAGTTTTTTAGCATAACTTTTCAAATTTTCATTGATAAATAACTGATACAGATGTCCAATATTTGTGGTCAATATATACAGCATACCATGAATCATTATCCAGTCCAAACAAGGGAAACATGTAACCTTCATCGCAGATTTTATGGCTTTTGCTATTGGATCTTCATTTACCTAATTCATCCTGCCATATAACACACACCATCCCACGAAGCATTATCCAATCCAAACATATTCATGAAATCCAGTCACAATTACCTTTTCTTCTTTTTCATAAGAAAACTGAAGAATAAGACCAAGTCAAAGTGCTAATGAAATCAAACATTAGTAATAAAAGTTCACTTAATCTCGACACTGCCAAGAACAGCAACTTCTACAAGTTACTTACGAATGGCAGCTTAGGAGATTCAAGGTTTTTCACAACGAAGACATATAGGTTGTTAATCATTTCAAGACCAATCATCGCAAATAGTTTATGATTATTCCAAATGTTCTGAATGAACCTCAAGGTAATGAAATAAACAACTTACATTTGCTAGTTATTACATTGGAAAACATCATATCTTGACCATTTCATCACAAGAAGGAACCTCTACTTAGTTATTTGGTTCGCTTCTTGTTCCCTATAGCACGGTAAAGGGGGAAAATATAAGATGGTGTTTAAAATTTTCATTTTCCTTTAAGCACTCGACATTCACATTGTATTGGTTTGTATGGTCCATTGTCTTGAAGTTTTCAGATAATCAAACCAATAAAATCTTAAATCCACTCATAAGAAAGAAAATCAAGAAATAAGAAAAGAGAAGAGGGTATCATCAGAATCCTAGTAAACTAAGGCATAGCATGCTGAATTTGAAGAGCCAATTGCATTAAAAAAAGTGAAACTCAAACCCAAAAAAGTTATCAAACAAATATATAACCTGACAATAGTGCTCCAACCATTAGCTGTTCATATATACACTCCAAATAATATTCTGTCCCTGCAATAATTCCCCGAAAATCATTAGTACTCCTAAGGATCACCCCATGAAGTAAACAATCAAAAAGTAAAAAAGCCAAAGTAGTTGATCAAGGCAAAAAGCATATGATGATACAGCAAAATCAAGAACACGAGAGGGCTTTAGGGCAGAATCAAAGCATATCACTGGAAATCAGAAAAAATTATGAAACATGCAACACTAATCTGGAGCAGTACATATAAAGATTAAAGACGCATTTCAACCTGCATCATTTTAACAATTGAACTCAGATACCAAAAATAGGGGGGGGGTTAAAAAATGCACTTACCGAGAAGAAGAATCTCAGCATTTCTCTCCTGTAATAGTGGATCACCCAGAAGAACAAAAGAGACGAGAGATGGAACAGAATGAGAAGATTACTGAGGTAGAGAAGGAAGGGAGTGGGAATGATGTCACAGGCAGAAAAAGTCTTGCCCCATTGCTATCCTGCTCTCGCAGAAAGACAACAAAAAGCAACCAACCCCTCACATCTCAAGCACATGTTTGGTTAAGATTTATGGCGGAAAAGAAAATGAAAAATAGAAGGCAACTGATGGTGTGGGTTAAAAAAAAAATTTTTTGAAAAAAAACCTCTGTCAAGTGCTACTCACATGGGACGACCGTGGTAGTGTAGCAAAGTTAGCTACTTAGTCCATATGTGTTAACTAAAGCAGCCAAAATAACCAAGCAAACAAAAAAAGAGACAAGAATACACAGAATGATACGAATACGTGCATTTCCATACAAACTTGAGTGAGAAAGCCTTTGATTATCAGAATCATCATTAGAAATATTTACATATATATCACTAAGCTACTGAACATGAGCAGTATACAAATCTAGGTCGTACTTCAATGATTTCCTACCAACTGTGCATGCCAAATTTTTTTTTTTCTTTTTTTACTACTTTCCAAAGATTGAAGAAAATGCCCATTCTTCAGTTCTTCAACCCAAAAGTTAACTGTTTCACTGTCTGTCAATCACCACCTCTCGTGTTATCCAAGGCAAAAATTGGCCTTTTGGGGAAGTTTTAGGATTTCACGTCAGTCAAGTTTGATCAGCTTTAGTCTTTGGTTGTTAAGACAGGATGCAAACGTCTTAATTGCAGAATGTGTGCTCTGAGGCTACAGTCCTTCACCTGGAAAACATAAAACCTTTATCAGGAGAGTCCTTCAGCATTTCAATTGTTAGACAGTGGGGGATCAAACACAATGATAGAAGAGATAGATACCACTACCAACCAAATTTGATATTAATTGTATAAGTATCAAAAATTTCCACAGAACACAAAACTAAATCTTACTGTTACCTCCATCTCTGTTAACTTTGACAAATGATCTCTGGATTGCTCAATCAGATTGCGCTCATTTGCTACCAATCTTGCAAGTTCGCAGATCCATTTGTTGACTTGCTCAACCTGTTGACCAAATTGTTCAGAACATAGTAGAGAAGTATATTCCAAGTTTATGGAGAACCACAAGTATGATAATGGAAGCATGTGTCTGTGATGTTACTTTGCAGGTATAACTTGAGCTGAATGTTCAGAGCCTACCCAAAGCATTAGACTAATTAAACAGTGGTACATCTGCCTACGAGATCTTGTACACTGGCTGCTTAAACTTCCCGCTATGCAGTAGGAATTTTTTTTTTTTTGGGGAAAGGAAAAACACAGAGAAAATAAATGATTTACAAGTAGACAAAACATGCTCATTCTATACGTAGTAACCAATATACATTTCTTTTCTTTTCTTTCTTGTAGACTTAATGTTTCCACATTCTGACAGGAAATAGGCATCTCTACAATTCCTTTTCAGTTTAGCGTTTTTTGTTTCAACATAAAGAAAAACACCTTGAACTTGCCACTCGTCGCATATGCGAAAACCTAGCCTATCATATAAGTTGAGCTTGCGGTGGAATAGTGTCCATCTATTTACCCTTCAATTATTTTCCCTTGCTGATAGTTTGATGAAAGATGACAAGCTACTAAAACGATGCTCTTCAGTTGCAAAAGAAAAAGCGTAGAAGCAATAAGGTTAAAATGAAGACCAAACAATAACAGTTAACAAAGTTTGCTACATATATTTGATAATAAACAGTAGCTCCTTGTATTTATTAAAAACAGAAATCACCTTTGGGAGCAAAGAGCATATGGAGGATGCCATTCCTTGCATCACATCAATAGCTGAATAAACAGCATTTTTAACATCCTGAATGTCTGCCTGCAAAAAAAGACAATTGGAGAAGGGAAAATATTAGGCCATCACATGCCAAACTTAAAAAATGATGGGCTGTCACACATAACACAAATTTTAAAAAAATAAAAATAAAAATAAAGAAGAAAAGAACAAATACCCTGGCACCACCACCAACTGGAAGACGCACAGTGCTAGATTCCAAAGCTTCTATAGCCCCTGACAAAGCAGAGCAATGATCTCTCTCAATCATGTCCCAGTTGTCCAGATATGGAACCTGAAATAAATAGACACAAATTGAACTTAGTACAGATCCAGACCATTGCTAGTAGATGGAAACGTTCTTATCATGTTAACTAAAGCATGAAAGATATGCCAAACGTATTTAATTCAGTGGCATCCACATTCAGTGGCATCCACTAAAGATACATATAGCTGGAACTGGCCTCAAAGTCAAAAGGTATATGGGGCAGAAGAATTATCACTTTCAACATGGCTAAGATCAAGAAGCAAAGAAATTTTCTTTGTTATCATGAAATAACCTGTTAAAAAGTTGCAACTATTGCAGCACATCTGCATTTCCAGGTTAAGCTGGACAAGCACGTGAGCATGCACAGATGCGCAGAGACAGAGAGAGAGATATATATATAGAGAGAGAGAGAGAGAGAGATTAAATCATCTGATGCACATTCAAGAAAGAACCAATAGATAAATCATGAGCTAAGGAAGAAAGGGTTAGAGCTTTCCAGATTATGGTGCTAAAAGCATGAAATAAGTCTTCAACAACTAACTAGTAATTCATATACGCATTATAACAACAACAAATGAGTCTTACTTGATCATTAAGGATGGTGAATAGCCTCAGATTCTGACTCAGTAGTTGCAGCTCCATTCTTTTTGATTTGACAGAATACCGCAATTTTGAGACAGTCACCCAGGCATTATACAGACTTCTCTGGTGGATAAGTAAATCAAAGGAAATATCAGCCAACAGAATTGTAGCCTTAAGTAATTAAATTGTTGCAAGGAGCCCATATTATGACTGTCGACAAAATAAAAATTTGGCCTAGGATTTTTTCAATCTATGCCCTACAGAATATGATAATTATGGGGCAACATGGTTTTAGTGTTAATGTCATAATAACCCAAGATTTCATGTGCAGGAAAGAATGTACCAAGGCTGCTAGGTTCTCATTATAGAGAATATCAGACCCAATAGATGACTCAACCCATAGCTGAAGCAAATGTTAGAAACTTGATGATGTCAATAAAGATGTTTAGCAGCATGAAAAAATGCATTTGGTTACTTTGATTCATAAACTGGATTTCAGTAATCAACATAGATTGTTTCATTTGTATACTTAGATTACTTTCTTTCATTTATAAACTAGATTACAGGGGATTCATGAAAAAAAAAATCTATAAAAAGGATCCTAAACATTATTGGTGGGTAATTTTTAATCATGTCAATCCAAAGTCCTTGTCCACGATGTTATCTACTGATTTCAACTAATTGTAACACATTATTCGTGAATTTTATGTTTTTTCTATACTAACAAGTAGTGGATTTGTTAAAGGAAATGCATAGAAGGATGTTAAACAGTCACAAGTAGGTCAATTATTGGTACAGAAGTGACGCCATGTCTCAAATGAGGCCGAAATCACCTGAATACAGATAAATCTAACCACTAAGTCTACCACGTCATTGATTTGCACAGCTAGGAAAAACAATACCCATAGAATGATTCTAGAAAATAGCTATACTGTCAAAAACTTTATAAACAAAACCAAGTAATCAAGCTCACCCGAACTATTCCTTTACTGGAGCTCTTCTTCTCCAGCTCCAGTAACTTGAAATTGCAAAACCAACTCACCTTGGGTTTCTCTTCCTGAACCTATTAACCAGGGTCTTATTATCTCAGTGCCTACAAATAGGTTTCAAATTTGAATGGGCTGCATCTAGCTATTTATTTAAAAAAGAAATTCCTAGCATTTCTCAATAATCATTTCTCCGCCTACCATTTGTATACTAGTATACTTCTTCTCTCAAGATTGGCAGCAGAAGTAAGTGCCAAATTATTTTTTCGCTTACGGTGTCATTGTCTAAAATGCATGAAAGCAATCTTTCCAATTTGAGTTATTATCAGAGAGGGAAGTAAATAGCCACCCTTTTCTGTCATGTCTCTTTAGCATTTAAGCTCCTCATCCCCAGAAAATTCCCTCAGAACTAGCCATCCTCAGACTCTATCCTAGTTATTAATGGCTTCATAAATGTTAGCAACAAGGCATCCACCTACACCTGACTTTCAAATTCGAAACCAAGTAGTGTTGTTTCTACTAGTGAAGGTAGCAAAAAGTATGCACAATGGTTCATTTCCCAGAGACTCATACGGCACTGGTAATAAACTGGTCTACGTTAGTCATAGTTATCTGCATTGAAATTTGATAATTCCAACCGCTTATTGCAATTGAAAGCCTCCACAGAGGAGCCCAAAGGAATGCAACAGAATACCACAATAAGACAGCAATTAAGTGAGGAACGAACTCCAAGCAAAGCTATATCCAAAAAGAGACAAAGCAAAATGTGCATGAAGGTGCAATCTCGTCTTTCGAATTAAAGAAGGGACAAACATTAGCACTACCTCTGCTGTCTCAGTCCGAACCAATTGAGCAGCCTCTGCTCTAGCATTTGCAAATCGCCACTGCAACTGCCTATTATACAATAACCTCAATTCATGTGCATCTTCGATTCTGTTCTCCCCCACCTTCCCTCTTCTAATATCAGCAGCAAAACTCAAAATAGACGGCGTGCTACATACATCATTACTCAACATACTTGCAACACCATTTCTCATCCTCATTGGACTAGTCATCCCTCTAAATGCAGAATTGATAGATGAATTCAAACTCCTATTTGGTGATGATGGCCTTGGGCCAGCTCGAAGAGGAGATACATACCCCGAAATTACTCGAGGAGATGATACAGGGGTATCGTTAAAAGATTTTTTTGCACCAATTAACTTTGAAACATTTTTAATTTTTGATCCATTATGTTTTGACAGTGGCGAACCAGGCTCCGGCACTCTTCGGAGCCTATTGTTTGTCTCTTGCCAAAATCTCGCAGGCACGATAATGCCACGTAGGCCTCCTCGTGATTGAGCCAAATTCCCACATTCCTGTAAACCTGTAGTACTCCCTGAAGAAACACTCTCACTATCTGAAGGCGCCGCATCTGTAGCAGCATTTGATAAAGCTGAAGTCCCGTTAGCAACAACCTCAGCTTTCTTCTCCAGCTCAACATCTTTCGTAGCTGGCTCCAATCTTTTTTCAGCTTTAAGTCTATTGTTAGCATCGATTGAAGATTTTTGCATTGATTTAACATCATTCGAAGATCCATTGAATCTGGATTTATCAGCAGCAGCGCCAAAATCCAAGCTCCGAGTCAAAAAA